GTTCAGAGCAAGTGAATATGAGTAAATCTATTCACTGTGTGGGGGCCCTTTAAGGGAAACACAGCCCTCTGTGTCACTGAGCCACAATCCCTGCTGGTTTTTTCAGCAAGGAGTTATGGGGACTTCTCTTCCCAGCACTGGAACCCTGGGCTGGGGGCCTGGCTTGGGACTGGCTCCCTCACTCCTCAGGGGGGACCTCCATAGCCAAGGTATCCCTCTCAATTTTTTATCCATCTCGTGGGTGTGGGACCAGCCTGTTCCACATCTCTGCCCCTCCTACCAAGTCTCAATGTGGTTTCTTCTTTAAATCCTTGGTTATAGGACTACTGCTCAACTAGATTTCAGGCAGTCCTGAATGATGGCTGTTCTATAGTTCAACTGTAATTTTGATGTGATTGTGGGAGGATTCAAGTACCGTCTTTACCTATGCCGCCATCTCGATCAGAATCTCCAGGGACTAAATCTTGTTAATACCAATTTGCACACATGATACATTTAGAAATGGGTGTATAATATTATCAGTTCTAGCCAATAAGACGTAAGGAAGACCTTTTTTTTGACAGGGCTTCTAAAAAGAAAACTTTCTTTCAAAAGGCAAATAGAACAGTCTGTCTTCCAACCGGTGGTTGTTGGTGTGTGAAGAAGTGAGGCTTGAGGTTGCTGTAGCCATTTTTTTTTTTTTATCATAATGTGTCAAGCTTGAGATGAGAATCAATATTCTGAGAAGAAAAAACCTGGTTCTTGGTGACATTGTTAAATAACCGAAAACCAACCTGAATCAGAAATTCTTGCTATATGGTAGATTTAATCCCTTTATTGTTAAGCCATTTAGAGTTTAGTTTTCTGTTACTTCCATTAAAAAAATCTACGGAACATGAATAACCTATTTTATCCTCTTAGATATTGTACTTTTTAATCAGAGAGAAGCAGGCTGTGGAAAAACATGAATTGCTCCATTCAATTTATAAGCAAAAATTTGGTAAAGTGTCTTCTGGAAACTCACAATTTTCATAGTCACTGGAGTGACATAAACTCTTATTAGGCTTCACAAAAAGCAAAACTGTTTTGTTCCTGCTATCTGTGGAGCATTGGGCACCTCAAAGAAAACTTCAGGTATCTCTTGGGACAGTTTACTTCATCAGTATTGTTTTTAAAAGTTTGAATGCTCACAAACAGTAGCTGTCTTTTGAGGTGTGTTCCTCAGAGAGGTGTTAAACTATTTGGAAACAGGAGATTCAGATGGAGAAAAATCCTCTTAGGGACAAGAGGAAAACTATCGGAACTGTAACTACTGGCAAAGTCAGTATAGTTAGAGTAAACAATGCTGCCTTGGGATCATATTATGACAAGGAAATAAATATATAAACTTACTTGGCTTTTGAGAAGAAGGAATTGTTTGGTATTTATTTAAAGGCAGATCAATTCCTCTCCCAGGCTAAATGGGTAGAGATGAATTGAAATGTTAATCAAACATAAAATTGGGCTTTGCAGATGTTGTCTGCAACCATTGTAGATTGACAAATAAGACAGCCAGTCCATTTACCTTATTGGAATGAGCTCTGGGGAGGTGACACACCTGATTCTTAATCTGGGAATCAAATCTTGACATGCTGATTACCTCACTCACTGGATAAACTAGGTACATTTCCAGGCTTCTTTGGTTCCACCAATGGAAGAAATAATGACATTGGTCTAGGCATGGTAGGGTTAATTCCAACATTATGTTGAAAAGAACTCTAGGAATTTGAGATATAGGAAGACCTGACCCTGTTAGCAGCATTACTAAAAAATAAATCTTTAAAACTGCAGAAGGGGAATGATGTCTCTTGAAGAAAGCAAATGTTATCACCATTGCCTCTCTCTCTCCATGTCTGCCATCTTTGTAGTTGCATGCCTTCTTTTCTGGACTGGTTGAGCTCCTTGAGGGCAAGGCCCCTCCCCTATGAATCTCTTCTAGGCACAGTGCTCTGGACATAGTAGGTGTTTGATAATTCATAGTTGGCTGACTATTGAGGTCAGCCTGTTCTTCAATCTACATTTTGAAAGGTTGGGTTCACTATTAGTGAGGCTGTCTTTGAGGATCATAGGGGATTAACAGATTGTGGTACTAGTGTCTGACATCCAGTTTTCTGGGGTCAGAAAAAAGGGGGGTATCCCCCCTTGGATGAAGGTAGCTCTTGACAGAGAAGTCCTGGGAGCAGTCAGACAAGTCTTAGCATTATATTCTGAGTCTGAATGCTTCTGTGTAACAAAGTGAAGAATGGGAGGCTAGAAGCTGGACGAGCAAATCAGCAAGTGGAGTTCACACTCTTCTTTGGGGACCCCTTATTACCATTATGATGGTGGTCTGACTGCTGAACACATTGAAGCCTCAATCCATTGCCAATCCATCAATTCATATACTGAATGTTAATAAAGTTTCCCTTTATTCTGAAAAAAATTAGGCAAGAAACATAAATAGAAATTCTACTATTGTCTTTGTGCAACATACTTTCTTGAACGTCTTACTTTGAAGACTGCTTTTCTACATACAGATAAGCAAGATAAAATCTCTGACCTTGCAGAGGTTATAATCCACTGAAGATTATTAATAACAAAACAGGCCTTTATAATAATGTAATACCAACATTCAAATGTAGAACTCTTTACTTAAGATAAGTGAATATTAACTGAATAGTAACATTTTTGTAAAATTAAACAGATGAGACTATTTCTCAGCCATTGTGGGGAACTATTATAGCTTCTACTTCCTAGCATTTATTTTTCTTTTCCTGGGAAGGATAGTCTGAGTTTTTCCTTAGGACACTATCTTCCCTTTCCCCGTACTTCTGATTCATGGGGTCTGGTTGTCCATCTACCACTTCTCTCCCCAGATCTAAGGGTAGGAAAATGATACAGAACTATGCAATATTGTATTTTAATCCCTGACCAGAGAGATTGTTTAAGATTTTATTTATTTATTTATTTTTAGAGAGAGCAGGGAAGGAGAAAGAGAGAGAGAGAGAGAGAGAAACATCAATGTGCAGTTGCTGGGGGTCATGGCCTGCAACCCAGGCATGTACCCTGACTGGGAATCGAACCTGCAACACTTGGGTTCGCAGCCCATGGTCAATCCACTGAGTACGCCAGCCAGGGCTAGAGAGATTGTTTTAAAAGTAGTCATATGACCCAAGCTAGACCACTCAAAGGTAATCCTGGGATATTTTCTTTCCTGGAATATCCTAGGAAGAGGAGTTCTCTTTATTCCAGCCTTGGAATCAAGTATTCCAGAGGCAAAGGCAGAAAGACTGAGTTTCAATGATGTCTGAGCCCCTGAATTTCTTGGAGACTGACTCTACCACTATACTTTCCCTTTACAAGGACCAATAAATTCTTGTTTTGTTTTTTGTTTTTTTCTTAACCCAGTTTGAATTGGGTTTTCTCTCACTTAACACAAATTTGGTACCTAATTTACTAATTTTCAGCTACTCTAAAGCTAAGCCAACCATGTCCTTGCTTGATGTTTGAATAGAACTCAACTTTCTAATATCCTGCAATTTTTCTTGGATTTGTATTTTACCTAATATTTGTCTTCTATCCCTAAGCTTTTAACAATATGATGTATTTTGTATACAGTTACCCATTTTCCCCCTTATTGTATTTTAGCTATCCTAGCAGTTTTCTCCCAGGTTGTTTTGGAACACATGATGCCCACTGAAAATGCAGATGCCTGGGCCACACGTCATGAAGGTCTGACAATGTACATTTTTACAATGCTCTCAAGTGGTTCTGTTATGCACTAAAGTTTGAAAACCAGAGCCCTAGCACTAGCCCCTCATCTATGATTGCTTCCTGCTCTTCCCCCAAACCCTTGGGTCACTGTGCCCTTGATCAATTTCTGATCTCACCCATGGATAGAAGATGAATGAGAAACAATAGAACACTTACATAATGAAATTCTTCACAGCAGAAAGAAAGAAGGAGCTCCTACTTTTTGCGACAGCATGGATGGAACTGGAAAGCATTATGCTAACCAAAATAAGCCAGGTGGTGAGAGACAAATACCATATGATCTCATCTTTAACAGGAACCTAATCAACAAAACAAACAAACAAGCAAAGTATAACCAAAGACACTGAAATTGAGGACAGGCTGACAGTGACCAGAGGGAAGAGGGGAGGGAATTTCAAGGGAAAAGGGGAAGGGTTTGCAGGAACAAGTATAAAGGACACATGGACAATAATAAGTGGGGGTGGAAATGGGTGGGAGGCTGGTTTGGTTGGGGTTGGGGGCAGTGGTGGGGAGAAAATGCAGACAACTGTAATTGAACAACAATAAAGTAATTTAAAAAAAAGAAACAATAGAACAACACAGATTTCCCATCTGCCAGTGTGACCCTGAGCTTTCCCTGTTATTCACTTAGCTGGGCAATTTCCCCCAGATGAACCATCTCAAAACCCAACTCTTTGCCCTTTGGAAATTGGAACTTATATTTTTGAATGAAGCACATTGATGTGTATTCTATTGTATTTTTTGCAGCTGTAGTTTTTGAAAGAAACACAGAATTTCTAAAACTCAGACTGGATCAGAAATTGAAAACTATATGCCCAAAAAGGGCAGAATAAGATGTTTAAATGTTTTCCTTCTATGAGAGGTCTGAGGCTGCCTGCCCCTTCTTCTGTAAGATGAGCCCATTTATCCTGTGGGCTTCTATGGCAGAGCCATATCAAGACTTTTCAACAAAGATATCCAATGACTTCTTCAAATTTGATAGGACTGTTGATGATTGTGATACACGAGGCTAAAAGAAAAGTTATGGGAGAGGCACAGAAACTAACTTTAAACTGTAAGACTTTCCCATGACCTGTGCCCCCAAAATAGTAGCTCTCTGCCAGCAACCATCTGCAGCCTTGATCTGACCCTGCCCCGAACATTTGGCATGTAGAAGCTGGCCCAGCTGTCACAGAGCACACAGATAAACTTCCCAGTGTTTACCGACTTCTCTTGGACTTTTGCATATCCTCGCAATAATCATCATATAAAAACACAAGCTAGAATTCAGGAATGTGCCAATAACAACTCCCTCATCACAGGCTGGGCTAGATTTCCAAAAGCATCAGATGCTGAACACAGCTTCTCCAGGAAAGGTGGTAAGCAGGGTGCTGGGGGTGGGGGACAGTTGGGGACCACTGTCCTTTCCTCTTGCCCCTAGGCCCACCTCACTCTAAAGCTCAGGACTGGTACACTGCAGACCAGGGAGATACAGGTGTGGGCAGAGTGGGTGAGGAAGGTAATCTCACCTTTTACATTAGCTTCTCCTAACTTTCCTTTGCCTTGAAGTTCCTGCCATTGTCTTAACTTCTCTCTCTCTCTCCCCCCTCCCCCACCCAAGAGACAGATTGCATAAAGCTTCATGTAGAAATTATTGAGTCACCTTCCTCTACACCATTTATTCTCCCTCTGCCCTTCTTTCCCTACATCCTCCATAACATGAGTGAGCGTCTAAGACTCCGGCTGCATGGAGATGTTAAAAAATGTGTATTTTTAACTTAATAAGGAAAACCATATATGAATCTTCCATTGGAAAAGAGAAATTGAGAGTGGCAATGTGGTTTATTTAGGGACCCTTCCCTACAGAAGATCCAGGCAGAAGTCAGACCAGTTTATGCTGAAAAGCATTAATACTAATGTATTTCCGCACTTTAGGGAAATTCAGGGAAAAAACCCTCAACCTAGTGTATACAGAGAGTTTCCATCAAAAACACTGAGGTGAAACCAGAGAGTCCACTGACCAGGTGAGTTAGAGGACGTGCTGTATTTAGTTGCAGCAAGATTTTTATTTCTCGTAGAAAGGACCTCTGCATGAAAGGGAGGCTTGGGCTAGCTAGGGGATTAACATTTATATTCGTCAACAAATAATGAGTGTCCTGTCTTTGCCATGCATGGTATTAGATGTGGAAGGTACAGGGTAAGCAAACAGGTGGGGTTCCTGCCCTCATGGAGCTACTGTTGGGAGGGTTAATGCTAGATCTGAATGATGAGGAGGAGTTAGGTAGATAAAGAAGGGGGCGGGGGGCAGGGAGTAAGCTGGGTAGTGAGACTAGTGGGCAGAAGGCACCGGAGTAAGGATGGTGGATTAGAGTAGGAAGAGTGAAACTGGAGGGGTTCAAGGGCACAGATCAGGAAGAACCTTGCTTGTAGACCATGTCCAGGATTCTAGTCTTTACCATGCAAGCAACAGGAAACCATTGAGCTGTTTTAATTGGAGGTGGTGGGCATGGGAGTGGGCAGATTTGTGTTGGAAAAGATGTTTCTGGCTACAGTGTGATTAGAGGTTAGAGGAAAGGGGTAGATTCAAGGTAGAAAGAACAGACAGGAGTGTCTTTAGTAGCTCAGGCAAGAAATGATGGTCACTCAGGCTACGTAGGTGGCAGTGATGGGAAGAGAGATTAAGGGGCAAAAGCAACAGGGCTTGGTGTGTGTGCCTCCCTTATCACCTTCAAGCTGCGTCAGGTGTAAATCTAACAGAAACCTGAAGGTAGCATGCCCACTGGTGCATAAGAGAGCAGGTCAAAGCTAAATTACATTGTCTGAACAAACAGCACTGGTGCTGGATCCAAGGAACACTTTCCAGCCCTCCTGCATCTTCAGTGTGAGCAGACACTGAAAATGCAGAGCAAGAGAAGGAAGCAGGCACCCAGGTTATTTTTAGCAGGCTATAGGAAATAGCCAACATTCTAATATGAATGCTTCTCATTAAAACCCAGAGCCTAATCCCACCCAGTTCTTGCTTCTAACATCTGCAAACTTTTCTTTTTCCAGGTAATTGACAATAGGTCTCCATGGAAGTCTTCCCAGCATTTCTGCAAAAATTTAGAAAACATTAGGTTTGATACCATCATCATGTTTGCCAAGACAGCAAAAATCCCAGCCGGCAAAACTTCGAGTGTGATGAAGCAGAACAGTGAGGACAGCACGGAATCACTGATCATTTCAGGATGCCTTTAGCAAGGGTTTCCAGTGAGGGAGTTTTCCATCGCCTCTGGAGCAGAAGCGGTAGGGCGTGGCTCCTGTGGGGTCAGCCGAGGTGATGTAATGAGGATTTCCTCCCCTTTCCTGCCTTTCCTCTCTGCCCTCAGGTGGTTCCTGGAGTTAAAATTATTTTTTTAAATACTTTCATTTAACAACAATAAAAACTTTTTTCAAATTCATTAAGTTGAAATTGCATAGAATAGTCAGTGTCTCAATTATTACTGAACCCATCATGTTGCCTTCCAGGCCTTCCACGTGCTTGACCTGGGCATGTTATTTAGCTTCTCTGGATCTTGATTCCTTTGCCTGAGACGTGAAGAGGTGTTGTATCAGCTCAGCATTTCTCCAGCTTCAGTCCTTTGGGTAACACCGTGATATTTGCCTTGTTGACTTTTCACTTACATAATTACTTTCTCTGCATTTTTCCTCTAAATTGACTCATTTGTTATAAATTGACTCATTAAGTATAAGTCCTTTTTAAAAAATAAGTCTTGTCTATAACATCTAGGAAATCATGGGACAGATGTGATGATGACTTTTTTAATATGCATTATAAGCACATAAGTAAAACGAAAAAGATTTCTGCATATATGTAAAGTCAAACTGCACTCTACCATGATGATTTGTAGGCCCCACTCTGGGAAACTTTGGCCAGGCTGATTTCTAAGCTCTCTTGGAGTGCTAACGTATGATTGTTCACACCTGGCCTTACCTAACCAGGCTTATTCTCACAGCTTCCTGAAATAAAAGTTCAGGTTTGGACAAATCAATGTCCTTGTTGCTCTTTGTAGACAGTGTATATGCATTCTGGTTCCTTCATCTAGAATCAATAATTTACTATGGAAAGAAAAACCCTGACGTAAGTAAGGAGGAATGAATTGATAAAGCACGTGATTGGATGAACAAACTTCCCTTGACTGCTAGGTCAATAAAGTCCTTAGGGTTGGAATTTATTGGGTAAAAGTCAAGTAAGATTGGTCATTTATGGGCTATTATTTTTTTCTTGAAAAGGAGGGTTACCTGTTTACTGGGCAAATTTACTGAACAAATTTCTGAGTGTCTCCAGGGTTTCTTTAACCTCATCTAACAGAGAAGAGATCCAGTTTGAAAATCATTGGTGAGTAATCACCAGTCCATCTGGGTAGAGAAGTAGGAGGGAAGGGGAAATAGCCTACATGGTTTGTGATGGCCCACAGACCATCACATTAATTACTATAGAAATTAATGAAATAATTAGTTAATTTACAATGTGTTTATTCCATGCTAGACACTGGATATACAGACGTGATCGGGCGTGTTTAGGGTGGAATGACCATAGACTAGACACTGGATATACAAAGATAATTAAGATAGTTCTCTACTCTCTAGGAGCTCAAGTTTTGCAGTAAATAAGTAAATAAGTGAGTATGATAAGGCATCACAGGCCCCCAAAGCAGAAGTATGTATAGGACATAAGGTGGCCAATGGAGAAGGAATGTCAGTTCTATTGGAAAATCAGGCAAAGCTTCTGAGGGGATATAACCCTCAAGCTGGGTCTTGAGTTATAAACAGTATCAGTTAGTGCAGGAGGGAATGCCCTTCCAAGGAGAATAAACAGGCAAAATTATCTGGCATATTCAGAAGAGTGAATGTAATTTATTAAGGAGGGAACATCTAGTTATCTGTGTGTATGGTGTGTGTGTGTGTGTGTGTGTGTGTGTGTGTGTGTGTGTAGAAAGAGAGAGAGAGATTAGACTCCAGTGTATTTGAGAAGCTTTTGAAGACTTTTAATCAAGGGGTTATGTGTTCAGAACTGCATACTAAAAGCTCACTCAGGCAGCTGGGTAGTGGATGCCTGGGTTGAGAGGGGTTCCCAAACTACAGGCAAAGAGCCCAGCTGAAACACTATTACAAGGGTACTGGTGAGAGGTGGTGAGGACAGCAGCAGTATGTACAGAGAGAAGGAACAGATCTCAGAGGTTAAAAAGGATTAATAATGAGAGAGTGGGAGATGTCTAGGAAGATGCCACGATTTTCAGTTTAGGTGACCGGGCAGTGGGGGCCATCCTCAGTTCTCGGTGTGAGGACACAAGAGGAAAGATGCAATTTGGCCAAACAAGAATTTCTTTTGGAATTGGGTTCCTTGGGGCCTGCATGGCAAAGTGACAGGGTATGGAGGGTATGGAGCAGTGACACCTGAGTTTTTTCTCCAGTTCTGTTGGCATGACCTTGTTTGACTTTCCAACATCCCTGAGTCTCATATCTTTGTCCATAAGATGTATGGCCAGCCCTGGCTTGATTTGAGGTCTCTAAGACAATAGATACGTGAAAGTGTTTTTGCAAATGTCTTCATAACTGTAAATATTTATGTCTCCAGAAAAGTACAAGATGTAAAACGCAGCGTCATCAGCACATTTAGCTTATAAATAGGCCGAGTGAGTGGCTGCTTTGCATTGTGACAGAGCATCCAGCAGAGATTTCTCTGCGAAATTGCCAATATCGCTGCTTGTCCTCTGACCACGGCGGCTTAATTCCTGTGAGACTAAAAGGTATTACTTTGCTCTGCAACACTCCATTCAAGAACCATTACCACTGTTTATTTTTTCTAAATCTCATTAAATTGTTTCTCCATTCCCACTTGCCAGGGTGGCCAAAACATTCATCTTCAATCCAAATTGAGATTCCCACTGGATCACCCAACAAGCCTGTTTTTCACTGGTGAAATGAATAGGGTTCAAGATATGCTGGCTAGAACTCCTGCACAAGGAGCCCAACCTTGCATCAACAGGGTATACTTGCTGACTAGAAATACTGCACAAGGGGCCCGACCTTGCATCAACAGGGTATACTTACTGTTCTAGGTTTAGGCAAACTTCTAACACCTGTTAATTCAGACCCAAGGTCTCTGAGATCCTTACCCCCAGAGCTGAGAGGGCATCTGTGCTAGAGGTTTACATGCCCAAGACAACTCAGTAGCATTATCATCCAGGACAAAAAATAAAAAAACGTTATCTACTTTTTGGTTGTTCTTGTGTTCAGAGTTTTCTGAAGAATAATCATGTTCCTATAAATGAGAAGAGTTGTTATGTCAACATGTCAACAGTGTGGGGAGGATCAAGATGGAAGGGAAACCCCCAAACTGTGCAGCGGACGGTGGGGCTGGTGAGGAGTCTGAGGGGTGAGTCTACATGATGGAGCTGAAGTCTGCTGACAAGAAAGAGGTATGAATAAAGATTTGTCTGAAAAAGAGGCCAGTGTGGAGAAAAACAGGAATCAGAAAGCACTTTGAGTTAATTAAAATGAACTAAAAAAACCCTTACTTTATTATTCTTTCTTGCAAATTGAGAAACATTTGACTTGGAGCCACCAACCTTAGAATAAACATTTCTGGTCAGAGTATTTAAAATGCTAATTCACCTCCTGGGAGGAGAGAGAGCCCACATCTCTCAGACAGGGCTTCTAGGGCGACATATGGGTCCTACTAGTAGCCTGTGAGATGACTGGAGATATAATTTTTAAACATTTTTCTATTTTAATAACCACATGTTTACTTTTTTTGTTTTTTTATACTGGTAAGAAGTTTGTTTTTTTCACTCCACCTTACATTTTTTTACTTTAAAAAATACATTTTATTGTTTATGCTATTACAGTTGTCCCATTCCCCCCACTTATTCCCCTCTGCCCTGCACCCCACTCCCACCCACATTCCCCCTTTAGTTCATGTCCATGTCTCATACATATAAGTTCTTTAGCTTCTCCATTTCCCATACTGTTCTTAACCTCCCCCTGTCTATTTTGTGCCTACCAATTATGCTTCTTATTCCCTGTACCTTTTTACCCTATTCTCCCCCGTCACCCTCCCCACTGATAACCCTCCATGTGATCTCCATTTCCCTGATTCTGTTCCTGTTCTAGTCATTTTCTTAGTTTGTTTCTGTTTTTGTTTTTTTAGTTCAGTTGTTGATAGTTGTGAGTTTGTTGTCATTTTACTGTTCATAGTTTTTATCTTCTTCTTTTTCTTAGATAAGTCCGTTTAACATTTCATATAATAAGGGCTTAGTGATGATGAACTCCTTTAACTTGACCTTATCTGGGGAGCACTTTATGTGTCCTTCCATTCTAAATGATAGCTTTGCTGGGTAGAATAATCTTGGATGTAGGTCCTTGCCTTTCATGACTTTGAATTACTACTTTCCAGCCCCTTCCTACCTACAAGGTTTCTTTTGAGAAATCAGCTGATAGTCTTATGGGAAATCCTTTGTAGGTAACTGTCTCCTTTTCTCTTGCTGCTTTTAAGATTCTTTCCTTACCTTTAATCTTGTATAATGTAATTAAAATGTGCCTTGGTGTGTACTTCTTTCTGAGTGTCCTGGACTTCCTGGAAATCTATTTCCTTTGACAGGTTGGGAAAGTTCTCCTTCATTATGTTTTCAAATAAGTGTTCAATTTCTTGCTCTTCCCTTTCTCCTTCTGGCACCCCTATGATTCAGATTTTGGGACGTTTAAAGTAGTCCTGGAGTTTCCTAAGCCTCTCTTCATTTTTTGAATTCTTCATTCTTTATTCTGTTCTGGTTGAATGTTTATTTCTTCCTTCTGCTCCAAATTGTTGATCTGAGTCCTGGTTTCCTTTCCTTCACTGCTGGTTCCCTGTGCATTTTCCTTTATTTCACTTTGCATAACCCTCACCTTTTCCTCTGTTTTTTGACGATACTCAACCAGTTCTGCGAGCATCCTGATTACCAGTGTTTTGAACTGTGCATCTGATAGGATGGCTATCTCTTCATTGCTTAGTTGTATTTTTTTCTAGAGCTTGTATCTGTTCCTTCATTTAGGCCATTTTTTTTGTCTGGGGCACCTGTTACATAGTAAGGGGTGGAGCCTTAGGTATTTGTCAGGGCAGGGCAACCCATGTTGCTGAGTTGTGGCGCTGTCTGTGAGGGAGGGGTTTGAGAGGAAGCAATGCTTCTTGCTTGGCTCTTGGCTAGCTTTGAGTCACTTCCTCCATTACCCACAAGCAAATTGGGCCCTTCTGGTGCTGATTTTCAGGTGGGTGGTTTTGTGTATATTGTAGAACCCTGTGGATCTCTCCAACAAACTCTCCTGTAGGCTGGGAGTTTCTGCAACACCCATAAGTGTTTCTGCAACACCCATAGGTGTTTTCAGT